CCAGGTCCACTTCAAGGCTTGATATTTTTTGCAAATCAGAACCCAGTCTATGAATTCTGATGAATCTAAGGGTTCTAATGAAGGAGAATTTTGAAATTTCTGATACAAACTTTTTGTGAACTGTTAAACAAATGTTTTTATCATGCCCTTTGCATACTTAGTTTAAGATATGATTATTCTCTTGATTGACTTTGTTGATGGCACATCAATCAAGTTGGCTAGATTTGACAGCCACATACTAAATTCTAAAAGATCATTTTGGTCTTCTTAAGAAGCAAGGATTTATTATGCATGGTGTGGCAAAATGGATTTTAGAACATGGTGCTGGTGATGCCAAGGTCACTGTTTTGATCCTCATGTGGGCAATTTGCTTAAGAGTTGAACTTGATGATCCTTGTCAGTCCCTTCCAGCTCTGTGATTCTGTGAAAATGTGTTTGTTCTAATCTCTTAATTGCTCAAACAAACATAATAAAAATGCAATGAAGAACTAAGGCCCAAGTCTAGCAATTTATATTTGTTTTTATATTATATTTTTTCATTTATTATGTTCACAACTGGTTCCGAAGTTAGATATCCTGAGGGTAAAATCTGGAAGAAGGGTTCCATGATGCAAAACTGGACAGGCAGCTGCAGTCTCGCAATTTAATTGGGGTGTGGAAATCACTGGTGAGCCTTCTTCGGTGTGAGAGCCTCTGGGCTCCCTGCCTTGCTATGCCCACCTCAGGCAGGCAACAGACTCCATCCAGGGGGCAGAAAAGGATCTTACCAAGGGCTTTAACCCACACCTAGTGAGAGGAGAATACAACTCTAGATTTCCTCAAGAATTGCACTGGGCCTGGTTTGACAGGAGTTGAATTTCTTTTCCTGAAATTGGAAGTGAAATATTTAACCTGTGATGTGAGACTCAGCCAAGCCAACCCATCACTCTTCTATAACCCTGAATTTAGCAAAGGGAGTAAGATCCACCCTTGGCTTGCAGTATCAGCTCTTCTCTTCTCATGCATGATTTTAGGTGTGCAGTCCCTTCAGTTAATTAAAAGATTGACGTAGTCATATGCAGTCTCTGAACCATGGGCAAAACCTTCTAAGTGTGAATTCTGTGGAAGAAGAAATATATTTTTAAATATTTGTTCATCAAAAATATTTCTCACTTGCTGTCACCTGCTGTATTGAGGTGGCCCTGTGCCTGGTTTTGCATTTCCTTCAAAGTCCATCCAATAAATAGTCTTTAAATTCAGCTAAGAAAAAAATTATATTATGTCTCTCTCATACCATTTATGTACAGGTGAGCCTATGGAAAACACTTTCTGGTGGTTTTACCTGCCAAAAGGGAATGAAAAAGCCTTTTTTTGGTGATCTACAAGAAAGAAACACATTACTAGAATGGCATTTGGCTAATAGTGCAGCAGATAAAAAGTAGGTCATGGCAGCAGAGGTGGAAAGGGCAGAAAAGAAAGAGAAAATTGTTTCATTTGGGGGTGAAGGTCATCTGAAATAAGTGATTTCACATTTAAAAGGCCACTAAGGAGATAACTGATGAATGTGAACCTAATTTTATATTGCTTTATTTCATTCTTTTTTTCTTTTCTCATTTGTAATGCTTACGTGTTCAGGAAGTTGAGGTAGGTTTTTCAATTTTAACTTGTAAATATCCATAGAGTGAATAAAAATATTTACAATATATCAACTGTTGATATTGTTATAAATGAAATGCATTGATACATGTTAACTATTGTGTTAATGTTGATTAATTAAAATGTTAATATGAAAATTGCTTAAGTTTCATTTGTTACAGAAGGCATAAGGAATTTTGAGAACATTAGTATCAACTCTATTAGAATGCTTGGAAATGCATAGATTTATGTCAGGAAGGTCTTTTACTGAATGGAAATTCAAATATCATAGATCAAGTCGATTGTATAGATAGATAGATATATACACATGCTGCTTTTCTGTTGGAAGAAGCTACAGTGAAATGATGATATTCCTTCAGAGACAGAGTTCCACCTTCTAATAAAGTCATTTGAGGATATTGTTATAAGTCTCACCCCTTCCTGAGGACTGGCACAAAGCCCTGCCAGCTTCTGAGACAGAGCTTGAGGTGTGTATTTAAATGTGACACAGATTTTCTGCTCCCCATATCCACAGAGTGAGTTTCACCTTTATGGTGCCACAACCCTTCAGTCTCAGTTCTTGTTTGAAGTGAAGCCCAGGCTCTGTATTTTGTGTCATTGTGGTTTAATCCAGGTACCAATCAACCACCCTCACCCTCCCCATTACCTAGGTGGCAAAGGGAGGAGAACTGGGGGGAAAAAGGTAAACCCCATGAGCTGTGATAAGAACAGCATTATTATTATTATTATTATTATTATTATTATTATCATCATCATCATCATTATCATTATTATTTTTATTATTCCATAAGAAAGACAAGTACTGCCCAGTACAATTTTCAGCACCTGCTGAGCAGTGCCCCCCTGTACTGACCATCTCTCCCCAGCCAACTCAGCCCAGTTTCTATTCTGGCCTTTAAGGTGTGGAATATCCCTTTGGCCAGTTTGGGGCACTTATCCTGGCCATTCTTCCTCCTGGCTCCTCTCTGCAAAAACCTGGGAAATTGGAAAGTCTTTGGCTTGGAGTAAACACTCCTCAGCAGCAACTAGAACATCAATGTGCTATCAACATTATTCCCATCCCAAATCAGTGCTGTACCAGCTGCTAAGAGGAAAATTAATTCTATCCCAGCTGAAACCAGGACAGTTGTCCAACTTGCAGAAGTTATTTTGAACTGCTATTGACTGTATTGCTCAAATGTATGTATAGTCATTATTTAGTCCTATAAATAATGATGGGGTTTATATATAGAAAATCTCAAAGGTTTTCTCTATTCCACCTTTTAGGGTTTTTTTCCCTGTATTTTCTATGTTATCACACTGTGGTTTCAGGCACATTCTAAAATAAACATAATTTCAATTTTCAAAATGGAATACTAAACAGGCCTGCGTGAAGGAGAAGAGGCGGAATAATAGATCTACAGAAGAGATTGCTGTGTTGTAGGGTTTTTTTTGAGGAAGGTGCATTTTTTTGTAAAATATTCCTTTGACACGGAAATTGAGATAAACCCCCATTCCAATCCTTATTTCAAAACTGGTTCCGTATGCCACCAGCATAAGAATTCCTTGCTGGGAGTTGAATTACTTAACAGTTTCTGATGCTGAAAACCCAGCAGCAAAGCAACACCTTGCAAAATATTTAAGAAGGCAAAAAAAAGAATATTTCGTTGCTGAAAAAAATTCCTCTATAAACGCTGAAAATCCAACACATTCTGAAAAGTGATTAATGCCTGGTGAATTTAGCAGTACATCATCATCAGTTACAAAGCATTGTATAACCATGAGGGGGTTTTGTATTAGCAAAGCTGTGAAATTCAAAGGCAAGCCTGTGATTCTACTTCTGGTGCCAAACCCTGTACTTGTGAAGAAAAAAAAAAGGATACTTTTGATGGATTTGAAATAAATTATGGGTAGCAGTCTTTGCTGTTATTGAGGAACATTATCACTGTCCATGAAGTCAGTATGACACTGAGCATGAGCATATTGGATAAAAAAAATATACATTTCCTTCTGCTAGTCATGCAGAATAATTTGATGTAACCCAGCATTTGGCCATGATTGCCTGCTCCAGAACAATCCTGCCCACAGTGTTCTGGAAGGAACATGGAGTGCATCTCATGATGCTCACTGAGGCTGTGGAGTCCTCACTCCTGTAACAGCCTGCTCTGACCCCATAAAGTCATGCTGACTTCCAAGTCTCCAAAATATTCCAGGTCAGGGTGAGCTGGATAGCATGACAGCGTGTGAAATTCAGTTTACTGGAGATAAATGGCAAATGTAGCCCTATGGAAGAAATAATTTAGGTCTCTTATTCACACAGATGGGTTTTTAGTTACCATTCTGGCAGGAAAAAGAAATCTCGGTGTCATTCTGGACTGCTTGATGAATACCTCTCTTTAGTGGCATCCCTCAGGAAATGAATATAGAATACTGGACATATTAAAAAGGAAACAAAGATTAATATGCAGAAAAATATGACAGTGCTGTAGAAATTTTCTATGCTTCTCTATCTCAGATAATTCTGTTGTTATCACGTCCTCTGAAAGAGGACACAAGTGAGATACACAGAGTGTGCTGAAATTGATATATCAGCTGGGCTTAACTCCCAGTTCTTCAGCACTAGGGTTGATGGCACTCTGAAGCAGGGAAACACTGCCTTCAGATAAATATTTGCTAAGTACACAGAATACAGATTGATCCAATACATGCAGTTTTCCATTCTTTCTGGAGAGAGGCTAGTTTGCAACAATCATTATTTGGCCAAGCACTCTGACAGTCCCTGCTTTCTCCAGTGTAAAATCCTGTGAAAATTGTGTAAAACAGAACCACAACACTCACAGCACAATGATCTCTTTACATCAGATGTTGTAAAATTTTTCAAGTTCAGTAGTGGAACAGTGACAAAAATATTCACTGTAAGTGCTCCTGGAAGTTGTTGTACTATTTAAATGTAATGTTTGCAGTATTATTCCTGTATTTCTATACATTCACAATGGTGTTATTTACATGTGAGGATGTATCTTTGAATTTACTCTGCTGATCTTTCACTACACCAGGATGGTGTGGATCATGTTATACTACCTGAACACTGTGTTCTTTCTTTTCATAGACTGTAGGCTAACATGAAATCATACAGAGTTATTAAAAAATATTTAATAGTGGGCATGCTTTCAAAAACAATCCAGAAGAAAAATTCAAGGTGCTGAATCCAAGGACCTTTTATTCTTTAATTTCCAACCTGCATTTACTACTCTTTAGGACACAACATGTTGATAGTGTTATCTTATTGCAGCTAAATCTGTTAGAATCAAAAAGTTGATTCATTTAGTTGTGTAAAATAGTACTGAAAATACTAATTTTTTTTTTCTTTTTCTATCCCTATTTAGGATGATTATTTCAGAAACTGGAATCCAAACAAGCCGTTTGATCAAGGTAAACTCAGTACACATTTTGTGGTTGTCTTCTGCTATTTTTTGATATCCCCATATGCTTTATGCCTCCCTTCCTCTGTCTGTCCCATGCATTAGTGAAGAGCTATATTCATATTTACATCGCCTTCCCAATTTAGTCACAGCTTGAGGTGGTTTATGTAGAAGAGTTTGACTCATCTCGCTATTTTTTCACCATGTTTTTAAATCCCCATCCATTCCACTTGCTGTTCAATGATGAAATGTGTGCTCAGAGAGATTCTCTGTAACCATGAATCTTGGTTTAACATGCAATTTAAAGCAGGGATCTTCACGTTCATTTTCTTTCATGTTAAAGACTTTGCTAAATTAATGTTGTAAATGTAACCACTGCATTTTCTAACACTCAAGGGGCCAATTCTTTGAAATCAGCTGTCATGCATGGATTTCAGGGCTGATTTTAAAAGGGAAATGGTGCTGTGTATATGCTGCTCTTTCAGATGCAGGCTTTGTAAACGATATTTTGCACTTTGTCTTGGTGAGTGTTTAAGTTATGGCAGTACCTCAAATATTTCAAGGTCAGCCACTAAAGGAGAGGAAAAATACCCCAAAAAACCCATTCTAATTGTGTCCAGGATAGCACTGGATACAACAGCCATACTCGGAAAAAGAAATTCAAAATTACTCAAGTGTTTAAGAAGAAAATACTTACTTGAAGTCTTTGAAGGTGCTTTTGAAAATTTCACTTTGTGTCTATTTCTATATTTCATTGCCAAACATGTTCTTGTATTGTCTGTAGCTCACAGGAATATCTTTGGGGTTAGAGCTTAGGAGTGTAGATTCTCTGTCTTTAGGGAAATGAAACTTCAGTGTCAAAGGAAAGGCAAAGTTGATGCTTTTGTCAAGACACAAATCCACAGAGGTTTTCAAAGGCATTCGAGGGATTTAGGAATACAAATCCTATTGACTTCAAATACAACTTATGCTCCTACCACTTTCGGAGGCCTTGTGACCTTCTGTTTTCCCAAGAGAAAAAACAAAAAGGTAAATCCTGGCAAAGTATTGCAGGGAGATTTTGAACTGACATGCTTTAAAACTATCCTGTATATTGTGTTACTGAGATGTCTGGCTCTGGGCAAAAGCAGGAATGCTTGTAGAGAATCTAAAGTCACACATGGATACCTTGAAGGGATATGTCGGATGTCTGCTAAGATTTCTGTCTCTTTGTAAAGAAAAGGATCATTTCTTTTTCAGGGCAGAGTTTCTCTGACACTGTGGATGTCTCTGCTCAGGAGACAGAATGCAGACTGTGGGTGCAGTCTGAGCAGGGTGTTCTGCCCTGCACAAAGAACTGTGCACTGCTTTCTTCTCACTGAAATCTTACAAATGGGTTTTATTTGGCCAGTAGATCATTCTTTTTGACATAGGTCACTACTCTTGGTTGTGGCAAAACCCGCCCTGTCTACAATGCTAAAAATAGCCACTCAAACATTTCTAGAGAGATTTATTATAAAAAAAAAATTATTGTTTGAAAACTGTTGATTAGTTTAGTTACATACACACAGAGCATGTGAGTCTTTAGGCATTGATCCCAGTGTTGTCACCCAAAAAATGAAGAGAAATCACATGCTGCTGTTTTGGGCCCTATGAGTCAGATGCTGACAAGACTAATCCTCAGTTTATATTTGCATATAGGTATGTATATGGGTGTAAATGTATACACGATATATTTATGTACATATAGAGGGAGTTGTATTAAAATAGAAACTGCTGAGATGAAGGAAGGAAGGAAAGCTTTATCTTTCCCAGATGTTCCTACCAAAGCTTTAATTTCTGTAATTTTCCACAGAGAGGAAAAAGAACAGTCAGAAGAATTTGTCCCAGCTCTTTTATGCAGCATGAGCTGCAAGACAATTGTTTAATCTGTTTTTCTTTTTCCATTCTCCCTGCCCTGGTATTTTTTCCCATGTTGTTCTGTTTCATTTTGGAGAGTTTAAATGTCCCTTATGCTCTTGTATGGTTTTGAAGATAGAAAAGCTTTCATCTTATATTTTTGGGATTCTGATATCCAGAGAATTTGTGCACATCCTGTGGTGAGGAGCCCTAGCTTGCTCCTGTGAATTCACTAACAGGTCTGTGTTCTCACCACACAATTGTTATTTTGAGAGATATCTCAAAGGCTTCTTTTAACCTCATAGGACCAAGATTCTTCCTAGTTACTGAAGAGAAAAAAACTTCTCCAGTAGGTGAATGAAAAAAGATTTGGGATTTTATAGAAAATCTAAGTGTAGTGTTACCAAGCTAAAGCTCTTTTTGCAAACACTAACTTTCTGGGACAGGTTTATGAGTTTTTAATATTGAAAATCTACTTCTCAATTCTAAATCTAAAATCCTGCTTGAATATTTTAATTGTGAAGTCTTTATGTGGAGCCAGAGTGTAGAACCAGGCTGGGAGGGCAGGGTTGGAAGTAACTGAAGGCAGAAGTAACTGCCAGAGGGATCTTACAAAGATAGTGGAGCATTCCACAGGTTTAACAGATTTAAAAACCAACAGTGATCAGTGGTTTTGAAAATCAGCAGAGTTCTGCTTCCAGGCTTGTACTTCATTTGCATCTCTTAAAGAAGTCTGCTGCATCCAACCAACTCTGTATTCTTTTCTAACAAAAAGCTGGCTTTATTCAGCAGGATGAATTATTTAATTGTGCATTGAAAAACAATAACAGTGTAATCAAGCTGTCTGCTTTCTGCTCGCAGTGTGGAGAGAAATACCTGAGTGTTTGTCTCAAGAAAAGAAATTCCTTGTTTTGTAAAAAAAGCATTCATGGCTTTCACTGAAACCTCTAGGGAGTGACACGAGGTATTTGATAACAAACCTGTTCAAGGGAAGTCAACTTGAGTGGTTCAAACTGCAACTCAGAGGGCACTTGAGTGATCAGAGGGTTTTTTTTTTTCAGCTGAGCTACCAGCCCAGCTTTATATTCATCTTTAACCCAGCAGAAACCAATACAAAAGTAAGGATCTACTGACAGAGTTGAGCTAACAAGGCACTTGGACTGCAGAAGGCAGCAGAGTTTGCAGCCTGGAAATGATTGCTGGTCATTAATATTGAACTTGATTCTGTCATAGTAACAGAAGCAAGAAAGCAGAAGAGCAGAAGGGGCAGGTAGTCAAGATTTTGAAATATGAATCAAAGAGTTGGGTTTTTTTCCTGACAAGGTCATTTGAGAGTTCTTAAGGAGCTTGACAGCTAACCTGGCATACTTTGCTAGTCTTCTTCATCCACTTTGGAGAAAGAAAAGAGGGAATAGGGGAAAGCTTTAGCATAACTCAAGTAAGAGATTTTGAAATGTGTCTCATATTCAGCACCTATTCAGACTTGCCAGAAAATGAACTCATTAAGACTTTATGGATTCTTTTAATTGAGAACTGTTAAATAAAAAAAAATAAGTTTAAGTTACTAAAAAATTCTGCTAGAAGCCACCCCTAAAATTGCTGGAAGCAGTTTGGAATGGTGTCCAGTTTTCCATATGACTTTTTAAAAGCATCTTTGCCCAGAACATAGAAACTGTGGAAGTAATGGGGTGTACTTTGTATTGCAGATGCATGAGCTCTGAATCAAAACACCTTTAAAACATTCAGCTGCCATTATTATTATTAACACATCTCTAGAAGGATGCAGGAAGAGAGGTAAAAATGTGATTCTCTGGTGGCGCAGATTTTTTCCCCAAATATGTGTTTTAAACCATCCATTGAACTGTGGAATTTTCTGTCCAAAGAGGTGCAAGTTTCCCCCTTCCCATTTGGATTGTGACAGTCAGATGATTGCAGTGGATGGAGCTGGCCTGAGTCCCCTCCCTCAGCTCTGCCTTCAGCACTGAGGCACAAGGACTGGCTGCAAACAGGGTACAATTTTACCCATTGCTGGTGGTAGCAATACCAAATGTTCCAAACTTCAGGGAAAAAAAAAGCTCTTGATTAGAAACAGTCTGACCTTTCCCCCTTGTCTTCCAGCCTTTGTTGTTCTTTTCACTTCTATTCCCAATCCTCTTCCCCAATAACTGAGAAATCTGGACAGGGATGTTCCTTCTCGGGGCTTTCATTATCTGCCCTTGGAGAGGAGGGAATACAAAAAAAAATTAAAAATTCAGACTCCTTATTCCAGTGTATTGTGTGAAAACCTTTATCTGCCTGAATTGGACCTATCAATGACTGACTCTAATGTTAGACACACTCATTTAGACTTGACTATCATTATTAATTACAGACATGTTCTCATTTCAAAGAGCTCCCTTTGAGCACTAATGAAAGGCTGAACTAGCAAAATACCCTCACTTTTGAAGAGGAAACATTGCTTTTGAGTGGACTGAGGGCTCCAGTGTAGCATAGCCTATGACTTTCATAGCCCAGCAGCCCTGTGAAGTGAATTTACCAAATTTGGAGCATTACATTTCAAGATTAATGTGTTGGTATCAGTGCTTCCTCTCCTTGTGCATCACATCCAACCTGTGTCTTTCCAGTGTTTAAATCACAAATCTAGACTCCAGAAATGGGCTTCTGCAGCTGTGCAGAAAAAAAAGTTTGCCCAAAATTCATAAGCCTTCTAAAACAAAAGGAATGAAAATTGGAAGCCTGAGATGCAGGATGAAAATCATAGAACCTCCAATTATTTTTGAGCATGTAATTTTCTGTTAGCCCAGTTAAGATGTTTTTTCAGAAAAGCCTGAATAAATTCCTCACAAAGAGATGTTTAGTACTGAACACATCTCAAGCCACAAATATGTTAGTTTTATAATAAATGTTTTCTATTACAGTGCCTCAGATGGCAGATTTCAATTGAATAACTTATTTTGCAATTTATTTTTTGACTGTGCTTGAATTAGTTTTAGAGGCTTATTCATAGTGCAAGTGCACATGAATTATGTTTGCAAATCTTCAGTAAATCAGTCCAATTTTAGAACATGTTAACTGAATCAACCAAAAACAATAGCTGAGATGCAGCACATGAAATATACTGTCTCCCATCAA